AGAGTGGGGTGCTTCCAGGGCAAGAGGTGGCCAGAAGCATCACCGTCGGCACTGAACAGAGTTCGCTCAGAGGAAAAGACCCTGAGTGCTTGCTTCTCTGTCTTGCATTGCGTGTTGCTGGGATAAGACGCTGTAAGTCTGTGCTTGAGTGGTGTGTGTGCGTGAGAGAGAGAGAGAAAGTGTGTGAATGGTCATTTTGCATCTTGCCTCAGTCTCAGTCTACTGACAAAACCCCCGAGGTAGCTGGTGGAACGGACCTGATCCAAAAGCTCGAGGCAAATATCCTGGCGAACACCAGCATTGAGAGGCTGGTGTGGATCGATGCTCATGGCTACGATGGCTTCCCTGCTTTCAGCTGCTTGGCTGGCACTGGGCAGAGATCGATATCGAGCTTCTGCTGCACGATATGCCACAAGACGAAGAAAAGCCACGAGTACCTCAACCAGTTGATTATGGATCACGCTTATGAGCAGGCTCGTCTTGGGCATCTGCAATTGGACGGGTTCCCAAACTTCGAGCCGGTGGTACAGGAGCTGCAGCAGCACAATGATGATCAGTCGCAAAACAACGGCGATGAGTCATACAAAGTGACCAGCCCGATCGACGGAGCCTTAGTCATCAAGGCTGCAATCATCGATCAATTCAAGAACCTGCCAGACTTTGACGAGGTGGTCTCGCAGCACAACGAACACTACAACCCCGACGGCAAGGTTGCCACCGAGGTCAACCGTGAAAGTCAAGCAAGCCCAATGAAGAAACCGGTTATGCTGGCGGCCGAGGTTGTGAAGATGGAGCCTGAAGATGTCATGACTCGCGAGAAGCTGGCCTCCTTGGTCAACCCGCCCTGCCCTTGCTTGCATGCGCCAACGTGTGCCAATTTGCCTAGATTTTTCAAAGTAGCGCAATGAGTTTTGACATTGATGGGTGTTGCTGCGGCTCAGGTCAATCCTTGCAGTGAACAGCGAGCTGAACCTTGTGGCTGATGAATGTGGCGAGCGCTTGTTTGCCGAGGCGACTTCTCAATTCACCGGAGCGGACGGACGAGAACTGTTCTCGTTCGGGAACGGCACCTTCTACGATGGGATGGAAGCCAAGGAAATTTTGAGCTCCGATTCCAAGCACGTGGCATGTGTTCTGACAAAGGATTCATATGTGATCCTCGAAAAGAAGAAGATGTTCGCGCACCTGTGCGACTTGCCATGTCTCGAACAGGGGTACCCGCTTCATGAAGTTGTCAGAATGTTGGAGGATGCCGGGGAGGAAACGTCAATGTCTCCCACCACATTCGCCAGGGGATGGAGATTTCACAGGAAAAAGCCCTGGTCTTTTGCCTGGAAGGCAACAACGAGCGCCCACGCAAGAAGCAGAAGACAACTAAAGCCAAGAAATGTGTCCTTCGGCTCGAAATGGTACAAAGTCTGATGCCTGATATATCATCTAATTAATAATTTTAATAATAATAATGAATCAAATTTAATTATTAATATTGACATATTCAAGAGTCAGATTTACGTCTTAAGTTAAAAACTGCTTTTTTATTAATTCAATAAATTGAATGCAAGGCTTCGTCGTTGACCTTCGGTGCCAAGCTGGACATCTCAGGTTTGACTTCGAGTCCAACATTGAAGATTGGCTGGCGTCTCAGGCCTTGGAACTTGAATCAGGTCTGCTTGTTTTTGCAAGGAAGCAGACTGTTCATTTTTATGTGTTGGTGGCAGGTTGGAATCAGAAGGCCGTGCTGGGGCGAAACTTGTTCCCCAGCGGCCGGTGGCAATGCTATGTGGCCTTCTGAACTTGGCAGCCGATACCATTGTTCGCTTGATGTAAGCAAGCTTGCAAAGAGCTGCTTTGATTAGCAGAAGTTTTCTGCAGCAACGGTCACAGGCACATGGCTTCGATTTATTTAGAATACGATATTTGCAATATGCAAAACACCAGCCAAGCAAATCCCACGAACTGCCTACTGTGAGCTTGCGACCTGACACCCATTTGATCTGTGACAGTCTACTTCAAGTAGTGCGTTGCGGTATGCGATTGGACAGTGTGCTTTGCGCAGAATGCAAACTTGTTGTGTCGAGTGGCTGCCCTCAATGCTTCTTGTTGCTTGTTGTTTGGGAGCGGTGTCTTTTGCATGGCAGTGCGACATGCTGCAAGCGCGTGCAATACACTTATTGTTCTGCAGCATTTTTTCACCCTTTCGTAGCTGAAGTGCCTCAGAGCCACTGAGGCCGTCATTGATTCATTGTGTGGAAGCATGTTGTTTGCTTGTCATTGTACTGTGCTTTCTGACAGGATGGCAGGGGCAAAGCGCAGCTTGGACTTCCATGACTTGGAGTCTGATGAAGACTCGAGTTCCGTGGAGTGTGTGGGCGGTGGCTCTGCCAAGAGCCTTGAGACGATTGCCCCAGCAGGACGCCCAGCGCGTACCATGATTAGCCTTAGCATGATGCTCTTAACACCCTTCGACTAGCTGCATCTGTGCAAACTCAGGCTTTCAACTTGGACACCTTCCTGAAAGGTGACGCTTCTGGCCAACGCAGGCCTGGCCAGATCAGGGGACCTACGCCTACTCCTAGGAATGAGTCCAGGACGTCAATTGCCAGGCTCGGGGCAACCAAGTTGGCTGATTCAGCTGGCGATGCTGGAACATCTGCTGCTGGACCATCGACGGTCCGCACAGATGCATGCCCCAAGCCTTACCAAGCTGATGGCAGTGGGGACTCTGATGACGCGACTGCCAATAGGCTGTCAAAGGTCTCCAGCTACAAGGTGGAGGTGGCGGCTCCGAAGGAAGGCAAGAAAAAGCCCAAGGCCAAGGCGAAAGCCAAAGGCAAGAAGAAGCAGAAGAAGACAGAGACCGATGCCGACAGTGCTGAGGATGCTGCAGGGGGCCGTGATGAGGACGACGACGAAGAGGACGCAGAGCCCCCCAGAAAGAAGCCGGCAAGCCGAACTTCAGGCCACAGACTCAGCATGTCGTGTGGTCAGCCCATTCTCAGAAGATGAGTTGACAGGCGCGGCCGAGAAGCCAGGACCCAAGCCTGCTAAAAAGAAGAATCCGAAGACGAAGGCAATTTTGCACGCCTTGCGTGGTTGGTCTTAGAGTTTTATGTTGCCGAGCCATTGCGCAGAAGACTGCGGACTCCTCCGACGCAGTAGCCGCTGCCGCGGATAGGACCCTGATGTTGTTAAACGCGGCATAATGCTGAGTGACATCAAGCAATTGACAGATGGTCGACACTGCAGGACGGACGAAGGGGCTGAAGACTCGGGTACAAGCATGGCCTCAGCCTCCGACTCCCTGAAGGCACTTGATTTCTTCTGAAGACTATTTAGGGATGATTTCTAAGCCTGATTCCCGTGTAAGACTTTGATTCGCCAGGAGAACACGTTGCAGCGGCTCCGGGCTTTCGAGAACTCCGATGAGATCTGCTTCGATTCTCAAGCTGAAACTCTTATTCTGGGGGCGGACGAGTCCAAGGATGTTGAAGCCGCAGACCAGTTGCCGCTCGACGAAGTGGACGACCTCTTCGAGGGGACGGACGAGCTCCAGAACATTCAAGATCGCGACCAAGTCGTTGCTGATTTCTACGAGTCGCACAGTGACTTGGAGACCGAGCTCCACATTTTCGGGGAGATCGGCGAGGCAGAGGACAGTGCTGAGTCTGAGCCAATTGGTGGGGCCGAGGAGGACAGCATCCACGAGGCTCGCTTGGACGCATTCCTTGACGACCTGCATCAGGAGATTGAAGGCGAACTCAAGATCAAGGACGAGATCAAGCGCAAAAAGCGCCAGGAGATCGAGAGCACGAAGAACTCCAAGCCAACGCAGAAGAAGGGCAACAAGGCTGCTACAAAAGACAAGGCCAAGAACGAGTCCGACCTGGATCTTTTGAAGAAGAGGCTCAACTCAGCCTCTTGGCCTAATAGTCAATCTGACTGCAACGTACAGCTTTAGCATGTCTTCTTGGCAGGATGCTTTGAATTTTGATCTGAGGCATACTCAGTGGGCCACAAGAGTGTGGTTGAGAAGGACAGCAAGAAGCGGAAGCTTGCCGGCGAGAATGCCTCAAGAAGCTCATCGCCGAGGGTGTGCCCTGTGCCGCTGAGTATGTTTTGCCTGAGGACAAGCAGCGCTAGTTAACACTTAGAGCGAGTGTCACTTGCTAGTCAGCTGGCCTTCCAGCTGAAAAGTTGAAACTTGGGGAGGGGTGTGAGAAAAATGTGCTTTTACTGTGTGCTTCACTGTGTGCTGTGCTGTGCTGTGCTGTGCTGTGCTGTGCTGTGCTGTGCTGTGCTGTGCTGTTCTGTGCATGTTGCCTTGTTGCAAAATTGTTTGCTTCTCTTGCTGCATCATGTTCCTTGCAACTGCCAGGTACAGATTGACGATTCCGATGTGATGGTCTGAAGCTGGCCTGCTAGCACAGACAAGCAGCACAACAAACACAAGACAGCCACGCGCAGCACACAATAGAAGCACAAGACAGAGCGACAACATGCATCCTCAAGCATCAAACACCTTGCAGTTCACTTGGATATGCGTTGTACATGCAGTTCACTTGGATATGCGTTGTACAGACTCCCAAAGGCTTTTGTGCCTAATTCGTCCCGAAACTTGTGCGAACATGCGCTGTCATCAAAGGCGTGCAATGTTGAAGGTGTCCCTCTGAATGCTTTCTCTGATCCCGCGTATTGAAACATCTGATTTGATTTTGGTTAACATCCGGTTGCAACAACACGGGTTTCTACTATATATATATATATATATATATATATATATATGTATACATACATACATACATACATACATACATACATACATACATACATACATACATACATACATACATACATACATACATATATATATATGTATATATATATATATATATTTCTTTAGTTGTGTATTTCATTACTTATTTACTGAGATAGATATATATATATATACATACACACACATAGATATGTCTGTGTGTCCCTCATTTCGAGTGCCAGGCAGCTTTGCAGGGCTCGCATCGCACGCCATCCCAGTGCCAGCCCTGCACGCAGCCATCACAAGCAAGCAGCTCCTGGCCTGAGCTGCGGTTTAGGGTTTAGGGTTTAGGGTTTAGGGTTTAGGGTTTAGTGCGTGAGGTCGGGTAGTTGCTTGCACTACGCTTCGGCTCCTCACCAGCCAAATGGTCTCGCACTTGTTTTCTGCACTGGCGTTCGCCTTCAGTCTCCGTCTCGTGCACCCGGGCGGTTTCCAGTTACGCTATTGCGCTTACCTCTAACCTATGGGTGACCTTCACTCTAAGGGTTACTTGAGCCAATGTGGTGAACAGGCCACGGCGTTCTAATGCGGTTTCCCCGATGTGCGGCGGAGCCGACACAAAGGGGTCCCCAAAACGTGCTGTGGTTCGGGGATCATTCACACCCCCCACGGCTGGGATTTGCAAAATGCTAGACGAAATTGCGTCACGAACATACAATGGTCCCAGTTAAAAGCGACTTATAGTCTGGCCGTTCTCCACTGTTTTGCTCTATTTGCCCGAATTAATAGATGTGAGACAGACTTTCAGCTACTGAAGCGTTCAATCCCATCCTTTGTCTGTACAGAGACTTGCTGCTCACGGTTGCGGAATCATGGGCGCGAAAGGCCCTGAAAACATGTCAGCAAATTGCTGATCCATCACATTGCGTCTCCAGAATGCATGACTGAGAAGCAGTAGCATCGGCCAAGTCAGCAGAGCATGACCCATACCCACTTGGCTACCACACGAGCTGCGAAGAATCGCACATTTCCCTCCAGCGGGCGCGTTGGCACATTGCTCCGCTGCTGCTATGCAGTGGCCGAAAAGAGAAATAGCATCGGTGGATATAATGACGTACTCCATCGTGTCATCTATTGCATCCATAGGGAAAAGAAGAATCAAAACTGAGAACGCAAAGTGCTGAGCCACAACCAGATTTCAGGAATACCATGGATTCCAGGGGATGACATACCGGAGGATCCGAGTACATCATTCACCCTTTCTTTCCCGATCCCTTTCTCGAATGACCGCGAGGATCTTTGGGAGCAGCTTGAGGTGTCCCAGGATGAGAAGTCTTGGGCTTCGGCTGACTCATGCGGGCCTTCGCTCGAGCCGGCATGTCCGTCTCATCCGCTTCAGGATGACGAGATCCTCCCGATGAGGTAACCGAAGGTGCGGATGCTGAAGGGTCATAGGCAAGGTACAAAGCCGACGCTTTTGGATTCTCCAAATACTGTGTGGGCTTCAACTTCAGGATGCTCATGTCCTTCTTTTGATCACTCAACCATCTGTCCAGCTTCTTGCTGTACTGGTTGGGTAGAGCGCACCCCGAATCCCTCATCACCAGAAGGTTGTTGACGCTCACCTTCTGCGAGTCCATCAAACTGAGCAGCTGAATCGGGTTGATGTATTTGAATGCCGCGTGGTACGGGATCTCAGCGTTGGGTTTCGTGTAGGAATAAAGCCTCACGTTCAACACCTGATAGATGATTTTGGCCATGAACATGTGGACCCTTTGCCCGGCTTCAGCAAATGCTTTCGGGTCCTCGGCCTCATCCGGAATCATGGGGAGGTTGAAGCTCTCCTTGTTGTATCCCAGCTGGATCGCCCCACGCATGACGTAGAAGACGAACTTGTTGGCGTAATAACGCTCAATCATGAACTGCTGGTTCTCCACAGAGCTGGCATACTGCCTTACCTCGTCTTCCATGAGGTCTCTCGGCAACGCCGTGTCCTCATCAATGGGGACAATAGGCCATGTCCCAGACGCGTCGTGTCTCATGCCTGAGGCGAACTGGTCCTTCATCTTCTTGTATGGAGTCATGATGATTTTCTCGAACAGATTCCATTTATGGACCAACACGTACGCAAAGAAGGCGTCGAGGTGACAGTACAACCTGAAGTTGTGGTCCACGCACGCTGCGTAGTCGGTGTCAATGTTGACATTGCACTCCAGCGCAAGGCGAGCTTTCCTCTCGTTTCGATCGTCCAACGAATCGCCTTCCCTGTCTCCCACCAGCACGAATGCTCGCTGATTCTGCGCATCCATCTCCACCTCCTCTTGGTTGGGAGCCTCCATCTCCACATCGCGGTACATGTCGCGAATCTCGTCGGGGATCTCCTCGGCCTCAGGCTCCGCCACGCTTTCTCGTGGACTGTTTGCCTCCACATCCCCTGCTGGATTCTGCACCCCGCGGAGCGGAAGCGCATCCTCCTGGACAGGTTCTGAAGGTGGCTCATCTTCCACTTCAATCTCCACAACCTCGTTGTTGACGACGGCAGCGGCCTGATTGAGCGCCTGGCGAACCACTTCCGGATCAATCCTTTCGGGTTCCGGATTGGCGCGCACATGCTGGATCCTCCCCATGGACAAGAAAACTCTCCCACACGTGAGGCAAATCGCGAAGCTCGCAGGGGTATGCCTGCCGCAGCAGGGGCAAACCCTCAAAATCAGCGGATCGCTTGTGGTGGTGTGAGTCGTCACACGCCGGAATGTCCTTGAGAGAAACTGGAAAGCACGCTTGATGATGTTTCCAGGAACGGTGTCGCCCGCCTGCTCAATTGCTTGCAAGATCTCGCGCCTCTCGCCTTCATGCGGGCCAGCGTCGGTGCCTTCCATGGTGCTGACGAGGTCTTCCACCGAAGGTTTTGGAGGATCACGATCAGGATTGATGCGTGCGTCCCCGTACCCTTCGACCATCTCCTTGGACAGCTCTTTGGAGTACACCTTGAAGACTTCGCTGAACTCGAAGCACCTTCCTTGGCTTGGCATGCAGATCCAAACGTGCTTGACGGCCTCGAATGGAATTTGCCGCTGGACGAGAAACATTCCATTGATCGTGATCACTGCATTGTAGCGCATGAGCTCGTAGGCTGGAACGTACAGTACCGCAATTGGTGACCTCGGCCTTCCGGGAATCCTTGTTCTCACCGTCTGATTTCTCGGATCCCATGGCGGGAACGTCCCGAAGTGGCTGTGGACCCGACCGCCTGACGCCCCTCCGCCTGGAAGAAGTCCTTTCGCCACGATGTTGGCGAGAAGCTCTGGGGCCGTGGTGTGATACCCCCCACCAATCTGGTTGACCAAGCTTGTAGTCAAGTGACATGCGACCCTGTCGTCATTCACCCGCACCAGTGAATTGGAGTTGCTGGAGTGTCCACTTGTGGCCCTGATCGCCCATGGCTGCACCCAATTGTCGCATCGACGAAGGGTCCCGGACGTAATGTCGTGTGTCAACCTGTGTCCTCCGAGTTCTTCAAGTTGGGCACGTTGTGTTGCACCGACGCCCGGAGTACCGTCCCACGGCGTATCGGATGCCCTCTGTCCAGGTTTGGGCGCCACGATCTTGATGCCCAGGAATTGAAGTCTGATCCTTCCGTTCGTGCGGTACTCGTAGTACGCGTAGTCGATCAGCATTTGGATTCGTCTCTGATACTCAGAGTTGTCGTCTCGAGCTGAACTCCTTGCATAGTATCTCCCGCTTTGCCAGAAGTTCTCCAAGTTGATGAAGTCTTTGAGCATCACCCACCCTCCGGTGTCGCACGGGATTGTTGGGAGCTGATTGTGCATGTAGTTCGTTTCTCTGTTTGCTAGGCGGTGCCTAAGCAAACGTTGCACATCGTAGCCCAGGGATTTGATCCTGCGATGATAATCCCGATTGCGATGGTTGTCATTGGAGGAAGTCGCGGGAACCAGGGCTGAAAAATGCCTGTGAGCGAATCTTGCACCCTTGATGGGTAGGAGACGGAGGTCCCCTCCGATGACCAGCTTGCCGATGTTCACGTATCCCATGTTCGAGGAAGGATACTCATCGATGTCGCTTCGGAGAGGGTGTGTTGCAACGTCTCCTCCAACCTCCTGCTCAATCAATCGGCGCGTTGCATCCTGCGATTCTAATCCGATCTCATAGATGCTCTGCCCACCGACCCACGATACGTCCTCGATGGACTTGATGATGTCAAGGCAAGACTTCGGCTCGTGGTAGCGAATCTCGACGAATGAACGAACATTGCCGGCGTTGTTCGCAATCCACCGCCTAGGAGCTGGCGCAGCTTTGGGCTCTGGAAGATCAGATCTCGGTTGGGGCCTGCGTTTGGGTCGAAGCATTCTTGTCGCAGCTTCTTCAGGTTCTTCATCGACTTCGATCACGACCACTGTAGGGTCCTCAACTGAGATTGATGCTTGACGCCGTCTTGGCAGCGGGCCTCTGGAATCCTCCGAAGACGCTGCAGCTCCAGGCTCAACGCTTTCCCCATCCCCACCCGGAGTATCCGAAGCGGTTCCTGGTACTTGCGGAGCGCGAGCGGCATCTCGCAAATTCTTCTCTGCCCATCTCTGGAAGATCTCTGTTGGTGGCGTACTGCTTGACTTGTGCATCTTAGCCAGGCTTTTCCCAATGATGCTGAATGCTTCGTTCACCACCAGAGCGTTGTACCCCCCATTTGCTTCGCAATTTCGGGTGTTGTGGCCATAGTTGCCGCAAGCAAGGCACATGCTGGGTGGCTGCATACCAGCGGTTATGCGTAGGGCATTGAGTGCTCGGACGTAACCTTCACAAGGACGTGATATCTCACCCAGCTCGGTCTCGTTCGGTTCTTGCATGGTGGGGATAGAGCTTGCCTCGGGCACGCCCATATCGTCATCTTCCTGCCCCTCAGGTTCCACGCCGGAGGATCCGAGCGCTTCCCCTTCATGGGCTTGATCCTCACCTTCTGGTTCTCCACCACGAGGTTCTGCACTGGGGACGGGCGCTGCTGAGAACTCTTCAGGTCGTTGATCTTCCGGAGAAAGGGTTCCGAGGACTGGCTCCTCAATTGGCAGGACTCGATCGACAAGGACCGCATGCCATTCTCCTTGGAGTAAAGTGTTCTCGTACTCCGTGATCTGCTGAATCGTCTCTGCATCATTTGCCCGGGGAGGACGACGTTTTCGATTCTCCACGGCAGTAATTCGTACCGCCTCCGCTGCAGCAAACCGATAGAAGGACCGCTCGATTCCTCGAAGACAAGCGAGATGATCTTCGTACGATCCCCAAGCTTCGAACGCCGAAGGATACCTGCA